TGTTGTCACTGTCTTACTTTGGCTAATTGGGAGAAAACATAATTTATTATACCCTCAAATGACAAAACGAGTCCAGAAACGTTTATGTCCGTCAAATCAGTAAAGTTACCTTCGGAATCAACGGTTTTTTATGTAAAGAAAGGTTGTTTCAATATTTATCCTATTTTTTGTCCTAGGACGCTAGGCATGAACCCGGGATTGTTTTTCACATTACTTCAGGCTAGACCTAGGGGTTGCGGCATTATCGCTTAGATCAAATCCATTGCTAATTTGGCGGGATTTGAACCCGGGACCTCTTGGACCGAAGTCCCGCGCTCTAGAACAAAGAACAATTTATATGTCGTTGAATAAATGCAATCCAATGGTTAAATTAGTAAAATAAAGTAGTAGTGTATAGATAAGATTAGTCTATAAATGTGCCTAAGGTAAAGCCTTTCTACAAATATAAAAAAGTAAATATAATCCATAGTCGGGTAAATATAGGATATGACCTTAAAAAAATTGCAAGAAAACGTTTTATGGTTTTATTTTGTAGAGTTGAGTTTGCAGAATGACATACTAAAAGTTGCCAAAAATCGGTGCAAGAGAAAACCACTAAAATCACAATTTAAAATGGCGGCTTTTTTCAACATTGGACAAATTAAAAAAACATATTTCAAATGTATTTGTTATGCACATTTTTCGAGATATTGACTTGGGACCACCGCCTGTATTTATTGAGTGGTTAGTACTTCATTTTGATAGGGAACATGTTTTTGGCCGCCATCTTGGATCCGCCATATTGGACATAGATATTTTTTTTTCAATGTAATGATAGTGTTGTGACACATCATTACCAACTACATTTTTACACTGATTTCAATGCCGAAATCCGTTTTTAAATATCTTTATTCATTTAGAAGATATATACAAAAGAAAACTCTGCACCATACATTTCTTATGGACGTTTCGTAGTTTGATATTTTTTTTAAAATTATTTTTCTTATATCTCCAGTTCTTATTAACGCTTGTAGTTCGTTCTAGGCTTAAAATATTCAGTAATGTAAGGGCTTTCATTTGAGCTCTTGATCATTAAAATCAGACGAGTTAAAGACCTGCTACGAACCTCAGAACAATATTAAATTTAACTTTTTAGAAATATATTTTTATTAAAAGATTTATAACTCGGGTTGTTAATACGTCACCGAGTTCTTTCTGGTCTCAAATTACTCAGTAAATGTTTGGCTTTAATTTTATTGATCATTAAACAAAATCTGACAATTTTAAAATGAGCCATGGACCATAATTTAACATTAGAATGTATTTATATTGAAATTTGTCTTTAGTTAAAGACGTATATTCCTAATTCTAAATAACTCCCAAAACTCTTTATAGTCTTAAATAATTCGCCAAAATATTGACTTTTATTTTAGCTATGAATTACTTTCCAGGTGTTATTAGGGTTTGGGATATATGTCCTTAACTAAAGACAAATTTCAAAATAAATACATTCTAATGTTAAATTATGGTCCATGGCTCATTTTAAAATTGTCAGATTTTGTTTAATGATCAATAAAATTAAAGCCAAACATTTACTGAGTAATTTGAGACCAGAAAGAACTCGGTGACGTATTAACAACCCGAGTTATAAATCTTTTAATAAAAATATATTTCTAAAAAGTTAAATTTAATATTGTTCTGAGGTTCGTAGCAGGTCTTTAACTCGTCTGATTTTAATGATCAAGAGCTCAAATGAAAGCCCTTACATTACTGAATATTTTAAGCCTAGAACGAACTACAAGCGTTAATAAGAACTGGAGATATAAGAAAAATAATTTAAAAAAATATATCAAACTACGAAACGTCCATAAGAAATGTATGGTGCAGAGTTTTCTTTTGTATATATCTTCTAAATGAATAAAGATATTTAAAAACGGATTTCGGCATTGAAATCAGTGTAAAAATGTAGTTGGTAATGATGTGTCACAACACTATCATTACATTGAAAAAAAATTATCTATGTCCAATATGGCGGATCCAAGATGGCGGCCAAAAACATGTTCCCTATCAAAATGAAGTACTAACCACTCAATAAATACAGGCGGTGGTCCCAAGTCAATATCTCGAAAAATGTGCATAGCAAATGCATGAGAAATATGTTTTTTAATTTGTCCAATGTTGAAAAAAGCCGCCATTTTAAATTGTGATTTTAGTGGTTTTCTCGTGCACCGATTTTTGGCAACTTTTAGTATGTCATTCTGCAAACCCAACTCTACAAAATAAAACCATAAAACGTTTTCTTGCAATTTTTTTAACGGTCCCTATGTAAGTTTGTTTAGTTTGCCTGGACTACCACGGTTCCCTCCAACGTACAAATTTGTCGTCGGTGACTCTTGTTAATTGAGGTAAGACGGGACTTAAGCTGTACGTGCCGTTGCTAGTAGGGTCCAGGCGAATCATCCTGATTACAGGACCAAGGGGTGTCCTGACTTGGCTCTGTACTTTCAACCCCCCCCCCCCTCACACACACACACTAATGGGAAGGTTGGAGGGAGTACTTACCCTGCTAACTTAATACTTTCTGGGATCTAGATTCTGATCCTACCTTTAGAAGAGGCAGCATTTGACTCAACATTGTGCAGAAAATGATTGAAATAGATACACTAAACAACACACTGTAGACAGTGCAAGATTAAATTTAACAATATTATTAAGACAAAACAAACAAATCAAATATGAACTGTTGGTAATCATCATGTTTGTTTCCCACTTCCTTTTAGTTGGGTGAACTGTTACAATATTTCACTACTCTGTTTGGAATATTTTTTGAATAGCTGGATGGTACTTGTGCTCGTTAAGTGACAGAAAATCGAATAACTTGAGAAAAGTCAGTAGATAATTTATGGTTTGGAATGGGATACAACTTAATTTAATCATTAGGCTTTTTTGATGGTTCGGGCAAAGACATTGACTGATCTTTGCAACAACAAGGCTATTATAGCATTAATTCATCACTTGTACCCTACTTATATTCGCTTTAACATGTTTTGTATATTTAAAACAACGTATCTAGATTTACGATAAAGTGTCAATATGTGTTGGCTTAGTATAAACGTAATCTATTCAATTTTATTTCAAGATTAATACCATTTAGATTACATATACTTTATTGTACTTAATATTTTCTAAACATTTAAAACAAAGCTTCAATTTGTATTGGCAAAGGAGTAGTTCAACAATACACTTAATCAATTAAAACCTACAATAACAACGTCACATTCTCTGAACAGTACGAAGCTACACACACAATCCAGCGACCACAGAATAAAAATTCTAAAAATTTCACTCTAAATTTAATTCTGTGGTCGCTGACACAAACGGTGCCGACTAAGGGACAAGAACGATTACCCATAGTGCTAAGCGTGTCACTGGTTTCCGCGGTTTTCCCACCAAATTTGGCGGAAGCGCGGGAGATCCTGGTCCATCGGTCCCTTTTACGACGTTTCGTTCCTTGCCCACGCTGATTACTTGAGGGTGTTTCCCCCCCCCCCACCCACCCCTAGTCTGCGTCAATAATCGCTGATTTATTACCAAGTAAAATTGTACCTACGGTCGATACCGGTAATCGATTAAACCTTTCAATTATACAAGGTTATCTTTAATTGGTTTGCCATGTGTTTTTTTGTTTTTTAAAATTTTATATTTTTCACTGATTGTAAATTACGAAATCTGACATTTTTAGTAAGTTTATAACGTAATACCTCCGTTGCTGCTATGGTTCTTAAATACGCGAATGATTCAACATTATATTTTGATAAGGTGTACATTGTTAAGTTTGGCGTGTGGTAATGATTTTTTTATTTGGAGTACTACAGCCATTTTAGTTTTGTCATTGGCTACAAAAACACTAAACGACCTATACTAAACCCCTTTGCAACAAAACATGTATTTAAAATATTATTTACAAGCAATTTTTACAATTTATAGTATTAGAACACAGGTTAAAAGGCCCGTGCCTGACTTAAGTAACATTAAAACCAATAAATACTTCGTGATCTGGACATACACGGGTACGTTTACGACGAAATACATTTTCCCCCCTTTTTATGCTCGGATTACGTTGCACAAGTTTGATCTTTAATCTGTTAATTAATGAGTTTAAATAAATTACAACACAAACAATTTTACAGTAGTTATCGTGTCTAGTTTTCTCTGTAGTTCGTACAACAATATCACCCAACAATGCTTTACCCGAAGGAAGTTCCAAGGTTTCCCACCAGGAGCGCCAGTCGACTGTCCGCTGCTGCCATCCGTCGGAATGTTTAAAAACTGTTAACAGTTAAACACAAAATATGATTTTTTAACATTTTGGGTTTCATAAAGGTTCTATTTGAAGATAAACTTTTCCGGAAAATATGAATGTTTATCATAACATATTGTGTATTTCCTATTGAATTTTCGATTATAAATATGTTTTGAATTATGCTTACTTTTACAAAAAGATCAAAAGAAATTGTGATCCCGATTTTAACACAAGACAAGAATAATCATTTGACATGATTACTGAACTGTTAATCGGGTTTTATGTGTACTTTTAAATTTGTTGTTAGCATTTTATATGGTTAAATCTCACATCACCTGTCTTATGGGTTTCAAATATTGAGTTACTAAAAGCGTTGACTAAATATTACAAACACTGTAGTACTTTATGATAGCATTATACTTGTGCGCAGCGAACGATTCTTTATTATGTCTTTTACCTTTGACGCTTTTACTTATAGTATTGGCATGGTTCTACTTTATCACATGCAATCGATTTGAAATACGATATGTCAATAAATAAATTTAATAGATATAGCAAAGAGGGCATTTACTGTACTTCAAAAGTCAATAATATGGCTTGTTAGACACTCTTATCAGACACTCTCAATCAATCACTTTATTCCAGTATATAAGTAAATGTTCGGAGATTATTTTGTGATCAGACTTTTGTGTATTAATGTAATATGTTCTTGTTGCAGCATTTGTTGTACCTGAACCATGACTACCCTCGTGGCGAGCGGGGGAGAGGGAGGGGGAAATCTAGAGGATCGACCACTCCCACTCCGGTGAGTAAAGTATCTAACATAAAAAAAATATAAAAAAATAAAACATAAAACAAGAAAACCCCCAACTAAACATAACTGTCAAATAACAATAAACAATTGAAAGTAATGGCAAGACTATACAGTAAGCATAAAAAATAACGATGAACAGGGAAAAGAAATACGAGATATAATATTTAACTAGCTAGAACGATTAACTTAACAGCTAAAAATTAAACAAGGAAGTAGGATTAAAAAGTAAACAGACAAACAAAATAAGACAAGTTCTGATGAATCAAAAATGGGGGTTCTATATGAGTAATTACAATATAATGGTAATAATATTGCCCTTTTACGGTTGAAAATTAAAACTGTAGTTTACTATTTAAATGCAAATAATAAAGCAAAGCATAGTGCAGTTAGAAGTCTTATAAGTAAAATCGTGTTACTGATTCCGTCGACAGTTAAATTGGAATTCTTGCAAATTACGGTATATCCTATTTAATTTTCTCTGAAAATAAAGCTTTGTTAATGTTACAAAACCCAACGTATGTACGTTCAAAAGTCAATGTAAAGATAAACATAAACCTTCTGATGTAGATTAAACAAATTTTACATTGTTTGCATGTGAGAGTTTTGAGTCGTATTTTTTGCATCAAACAATATAACATATCACAAACTTTGGTCAAACATAGTGCAAAAAACTTCGGAACGCCCTTGAGAGTCGTAAAAAATCTAATTTTCTCTCCCCAGCAGAACAACTTTATCAAACCAATCTGGAATTGACAGAACAAAATATGGCTAAAAGAAGAGCTCGGGAAAAGAAGGAACATGTACCAAATACGTGATGGCTGTAGGCTTACGTAGCTCCGTATAAAAAAAAACATATTGTATATTGTATTGATGTGGGGACTTTTTAGATAAACAAAAATAAAATATTTGTCTCTAGCCTTAGTTACAGTTCATCTTTGGGGTTCTGCCAGTTTCCATTAAATTATTATAGAATGTTTGCACGAATTATTGGTTTTGGTACTTCAGTATTAAACGGAGGCCACATTTTGTCAGCGCGCTGCGGCGGTTATGTTAGGTTGGGTTATCATAATAGAAAGTATCGTTCGATTCATTACGAAGCGAGGAAAGTCCTACACACATAATATTTACGATAACCCAACCTAACATAACCGCCGCAGCGCGCTGACAAAATGTGGCCTCCGTTTAATACTGAAGTACCTTGGTTTTTGCTATGGAAAATTTTGAAACACAATTTGAACAAAACCATTAATTACAACTAGAGGTTGTTCAGTGGTCGAAAACTCGACCAAAAATATGTAATGAACAGACTTCCCTATTTTTACCCCACGCTGTAAATAAAACATGTGATTTGAATTTCTTCCATTTATTTTAATTTTCTGTTTAAATTTCGTTGTTATTTCGTCAGCAGCTTGCACTAAAGCCCATTTTGTTTTTGAAAATGTTTAACTAATTTTTTCTGCATATTTATGAGCCTATTTTAATTTATAAAGGTATTCTGCACATCTACAGGCAAATATCTTTCTAAAAGTAGGTGTAGATTTTTCCTGCGATGCTTGCCTATTAATGTATAGATACTGAATTTTTCCACCTGATCATTTTGCCTTTGTTCACAATTACAGCTTGGGAATGACACATTTTATTTTATATCGACTGTAAACGAAAATAAAATCATTCTCAGTAAAAGTGAAGACTTTCCCCGACCTACGGTTCGAACGCTACCGAATGTCATCTAACACGATAGTAGCATAAATTAAAACAACATTTTCGCGCACGCTAGTACAACATCATTAGATTTCACTACGCCGCGTCGCCATGGAAACCGCGTCCCCCTCCCGGGCGACCGATCGATTTTTCTCCTTTATTATAATTATTGTCTGCATTTAATTTATTGTCGTCCCGGGATTTCAATCCTCTTAATTGCCGTATGCGCCTTATGGCGCACAAGTGGTGCAAGATATTGTACGGCGTACATAACGATTCTGTACGCCGGGTTTGTACAATGGTATCCGTACATCTTGCAGCTGTCACGGAGGTTCTAACGGCCATTGATACAATCTGAGGGTTTTGTACAATTGTGTCAATCTTGTGACAATCTGAGTTGATGTTTACGTTAAACCATTGACTTTGGATACTGTAGGTCTTTTTTCATTATTGTAAAATACAAAACCTGTATTGTTGTTTCGTGTTTTATATTTTTGAGGGATCTAATGTTGGCAAACGTTTTGTTTTGTTTAGGGTAAATTTACAGTTTGCTATGTACTATTTAGTATAGCTTTAAAAATACAGAATTGTCTAAAAATAAGCGTTTCTACAGGTACAAACTATTGTTGATGTTAGAAAAATAAAACAGTGAAGATAAACACCTTTTTACACATTCAAGAAACGACATTGTCAGAAGCTGGCCCATAAGAATAGTAAATCTATATTTTATTTAATATATATGGTTCACTTTGCTGATGGAAAATGAGTCAAATTTAACAGGATTTGTTTATTAAAACTACTAATTTTAATATGATAGAACGTGACAATTTAAAACAGGAGGGTGAGAAGGGTTTTTGTAAGACTATTTGTTTTAGTTTTTCTATGCTATTTAACGATATTTATGAAAAAGATCGCCGAATTTTGAAGGTAAATTTTGAATTGTACATATTATTGCGTTTGCCCTAGTATTACTGTATTTATAAAAATAAATTGAAAGTTGATATGTAAACATAAGAGATGTAAGTTACTTTTAGGAGTGAAGAATATACTTTTAAAGAAAGACATAGGCCTAACTTATTTATCTAACATTTTCTTTATATTGGGGTATAACAACGCTCCTTTACAGAATTTTAACTAAATTATTATCTGGATGAATTTTGTTTTATAAAAATATCTAGATTATTCATCATTTAAATATTTACTTTATAATATACTTAGCGCCTTCAAGGCTGGTTGAGCTTCCTACGAACGTAAATGTTAGGTTGTTGCGTAGAGATTTCTGCAGGCACTACACTTTAAATTTGAAACTACTGTATGCAAAAAAAGACACTAGCTGCGTTTTCCACTCTAACTGCTATGATGTGTTTTAAATACTGAATATATAAATATATAATATATATTGTTAGTGACAAAACGCAATCGACTTCTTTGTTATAAACTTTTATATAATTTTTGTGTGTAAAATTTAAGAAAATGTGAACGACAACGAAGAAAAAATGATTAAGCCTTGCAGAATCATTTCAACAGCGAGCAAAATGGTCAAAAGTCAGAATGAATACAAAGTACTGTAACAGCAAATAAAGATTGATTACATACAGTGGATATTAAACTGATCCCTCTTTGACTAGTAAACTTCCTTGAGAGCGCTCAAAGTGTATTCTAACACATAGATTTTCTGTACATCCAAATTCACTGACGACAATTTAAAAATCGTGAAATTTCTCTAAAATAATCAAAACTGTATCAACAGGGTATCCCCTTTCTCCCCTTTGGGGGAATTCGTTGGGGAAGCTGTGACATTGGCCTATATTGCTCCCTACCCAGACATATTGTATCACAGGCCCCAACCTAGGCCCTCGGCAGTAAGGGTTGGTATCGTAGTGATTTCCGTAGCCCCTGCAACTGGCGAGATGCAGCGTGCGAGCGTAAATGCTTTGAAGTTGCGTCGGGTAGGTTGAAGGCGCTAAGCTTTCCTGAGAAACTAGTTTGCTTTAAAAATTAAATACATTTTAATTAAGAAATTCTGTTGGTATAACTAATAAGCTAATACTTGTTATTTACTTAAAAAATTATACGTTAACAAGCTTGTTTATATTTTATTTTCATTTAAATTTTTGTTAACACGTAAAGCACTGCAAATGTTGAATTCCCAAGAGTATGAACAGTTCATTTGATTTAAATAATTCATATGTAAATTTTAATTCCCATATTATGAGGTTATACTCACATATTATACCAACAAGAAATTAACATTTTCCAGACGTAATCATGAGACTTGGTGTTCTCTTAAGTGAACAGAGTTGAAATATTGTATCAATATATTAAAACAATCTATTTATACCCCACGCTGTACATAAAACATGTGATTGGAATTTCTTCCATTTGTTTTGATTGTCTTTGTCTATTTTGTTGTTATTTCGTCACTAAAATGGCAACCCATAAGGCCCATGTTAATTTTTTTTATATTTTAAACAAATTTGTTGTGCTTATTTTTGAGTATATTTTAATTTATAAAGCGATTCTGCACATCTGCAGGCAAATATATTTCTAACAGCAAGCGTAGATTTTACCTGCGATGCACACAGGAGCTGAGAAAAAAGGTTATCAAGAAACATGCTTGCCTATTAATATATAGAATTAGCCAGAATTAGCCTCATGTTAAATCTCCATAGGAAAAGTTTAGTTTCCATTTTTGACTCAATTAACATATATATTTTCAAAATAAAAATAAACCCTGCACATATAGGACCGATAACATTTCTTTTGGTACAACCCGCGTGTAATTCGGTCCAGTAGTATGGTCATGATAGATTTCATAAGTTTTGCAAAATTTTTTTAACATGCTACAAGCCTAGCAAATGTTTTATATTCACGGATAAAATATTTTCATGAGCCGTTCTTATTATGGCTGTAAAAAAGAGCTGATTATGTGGTAGTAACACATAATACCCCCGCCGCAGCAAACCTGCCGACTAAGCGAATTTCCATTTGTCTGAATTGATTTTCAGTTAAATATATTTTAATAACATTAGGTTTAACGAGTACCTAGGTTTGCTGCTACAAGGAAACTAATAAAGTGTGTTTTTGAGTAAAATATTGATAGCTTAGTACAAAATAAATAAATTTGCCAAGTTTGATCATAATATATCCATAAACAAGCAAACTACAACATTTGACAATATTCTCCATAAGAATAAAATGGGAATTTTAAATTTACAATTGTTTAATTTTCTCCGTTACTAACAATCGAACAAAAATACTTTTATAAACTAAATTATTTGTTTTTTAAG